ATCACCTCCCAACTCCTATACTCAATGCACTGACCAATAAAGGCAAGCATACCAAACGCCTTCTTCAATATCTACCTGCGACTCCACTTTCAACGAACTATGAATTTGACTTCAAGGTCTCTTTGTTCAGCACATTCCCCATGACCTTACCATTAAGTGTATAAGTCCTGCCCTGATTTGCTTTTCCAAAATGCAGCTCCTCACATTGTACGCTGAGGTAACCTTCTTGGCTGTCCACTACACCTCCATATTACAATACAAAATCACATTTTATTTTTGCTAATACTATTGTTGAGAGAGCAAGTTTAATTTACTTAAAGCCAATTTGCATTTCTATGTGCCCCTGACAAAAACTGTGCAAATGATTATCTTGAAATATGGTTCCTAATGGAAGCAAATATATCAACTATTATGCACCCAACACAAGCCCAAAATCTTCAGCACATCTACTTCGGTGGCATGGTTGAGAGGGACGTGGGAACAATGGGTTCAGCCTTTGATTTACCTCACTGAGAAAAAAATAAGGTCTGTAGAACAAAGTTCTTGCTGCCTGCTAATCACCTTCCCAGGGCAAAATGCACTGCAAAAGCAGCTGCTTCTGGTCTGCTACCTTGAAACAAAAGTGCCTGTATGGACATATCCTGCATGCTTTGATAAAGCTGAAACAGACCTATCCTGATGTCTCTCAGTCTGACAGCTGATGATGCCCACTGGCCAAGTTTGGAACACCCTGGTCCAGTGTCTGGATATGTAAACAACTCAACAAGGTTCAGGCATTCAGCAGTTAAGAAGTGCCCAGTATATGCATTACTTAAAGGGCCAGGAACCCAAATTGCAGGTCTGATCTGTCACTGCTTTCAATTTCTTGATGTTTCAAAAATCCATCTACCCCCTCTTTAAAACCTTTCAGTGATCCAGCTACTACATTTCTCTGGGACAACATTCTCTCTAAATTCTGTCCCTCCAACTTTTCATGCACAGCAATTAGTGTCAGCACACCAATTCCAGCAGTCACTGCTGCAGCTCGTACAAAGATTAGAAGGACTGAGGCCAAAAACTGCTGTTCTGAGGCTGAGAATTCCAAACAAATACTAGCTTTTGGGAGAAGAAATTTCTTCATGCCTCAGTTTTAAATGAGTGCCCTCTTATTCTGTAACTATGTCCCTTAGTTCGAGACTTTGCCACTAATGGAATTATCTTCGCAACAGCCGTCAAGCCCCCTCAGAATCTTGTATGTTCAACATAAGATCAACTCTCATTCTTCTAAAATCCAATGAACTAATGCCTACCCTGTTTAGCCATTCTTGATAAAACAATTCCTTCATCTCAGGAAGCAACCTATTGAATTTCTCCAATTGTAGTACATCGTTTCTTCAATGCAGACAACTGTACACAGTATTCCTGGTGTGGTTTCACCAAAACTGCACTGTTGTAACAAGACATCCCTATGTTTAAATCCTCTAATAATAACGGCCAAAATTCCATTGCCTTCTTAATTACCTGCATGCTATTTTTTTGTGTTTCATATGCTACACCCAGATGCCTTTGTGTTGCAGTCTTTTGGACTTTCTCTCCATTTAAATAATAGTTGGCCTTTTGATTCATCCTATCACATTTTCCTACATTGAACTCCATCTGCCAAGTGTTTGCCCATTCACTCAAACTATCTGTATTCCCTTGCAGATTCCTCATGTCCTCATTACAACATGCTCACCCACATATTTTTACGCTACCAGCAAATCTGGATAATTTACACTTTGGCCCTTCCTCCAAGTCAATAACATAGACAGTACATGATTAACTCCCTAGAACTGATCCTTCAGGCATTCCACTAGTTATGGCTTTACAACCTGAAAAAAAACATTAACCCAACTCTACCATGTGTGTTAACCAATCCTCAAACCATGTTAATACACTAGCCCCAACACCATGAGCTCCCACCTTGTGCAATAACCTTTCATGTGGCATCCACTCGAAATCATCTGGAAATTCAAATACAGTACATCTACCATTTCCCTTTTATCAAATCTGCTTGTAACAGCCTCACAGAACTCAAAATTTTTCAAACATCATTTCCCTTTCATAAACCCTGTGACTGACTGCATTAAGCTTTTCTAAACATATTGCTATTTCTTCCTTAATAATGGTCTCTAGCATTTATCCGCTGACAAGATGTTGGGCTAACTATCAATAGCTTCCTACCTTCTATCTCCTTCGTTTCTTGAACAGGGCATTACCTTACATTTTTCAATCTGCTGGAACCCTCCTGGACTCATGAGTTGGTCCTGGCAACTTGTCTGCCTTCAGTCCCTTTAGTTTGTCAAACATTTTGTCCCTATGGTAGAGGGCATTAGAAGACCTTTTTGCCCCCAAACAATGCCTTGCTTATCTGATATCTTCAGCATGTTTATGGCCTCCAACATGAAGACCAATGCAAAATATTGCTTCAAATTATCCACCATTTCCCTGTTCCTATTATTAACTCTGACAGCCATATCTCCGACGGATCCACATTCAATTTTCATATACGCACAGAAGCTCTTTAGATATTTCTTGATAATTAATTGCTTTAATAATCAAATGTCCCCTCTACATGAGCTTTTCAAGTCATCTACTGCTAGTTCTTAAAATAATTCCCAATCCTCTGACCTACCACTCATTTTCACCACTTTGTTTACCTTAGTTTTTGATTAGATACTCTCCTTGACTGCATTTGTTCGCCATAGATGGTTCATCCTTTTCTTTAGGTCATTCTTTTTAGGCAAGAATAAATTATTGAGCATTATAAAACATCTGCTCAAATGTCTGCTATTCATCTACTGACCTTTCCCTTGGTCTATTTTCCAATCCCATTATAGATAACTCCCTCTTCGTACCTCTGTAATTGCCCTTATTTAAGTTAAGGACACCAGTTTTGTTCTCTCTCAAACTGAATTTGAAATTCTACCAATGTCGAGACTGCTATCCTATAGGACCCTTAACAACAAAATTTCATTGATCTTCTCTCATTACACATCACCAGGTCTAAATTAGCCTGTTCCTATTTGTCCAGTCAATATATGGATTAAAATCATCTGTGATAATGGGAGCATCCTTCTTACATGCCTCCATTATTTCCTGATTTATACTTTCTCCTACAGCAAAGCAACTTTTTGGGGCCTACAGACCACTCCTAACCGTGACTTCTTTGCACTTGTTATTCCTTATTTTCACTCAAACTGATTCCACGTCACAATCTAATACTCACCACCACAATGATACCTTGCTTTATACACAATGCTAATGCACCTCGTTTCCTGTTTACCTATCTCATAGAATGTCAAATACTCTGAAATATTGAGTTCCTGATCCTGGTACCCTGCAACCACAACTCTGTAATAGCTATCAAGTAATAATCATTTAATTCTATTTGTGCCATTAATTCCCTCGATCTGGTTATAAATGCTGTGTGCATTCTGATAAAGAGCCTTAAGTTTGAACATTTTACCATTAATACTTATCTTTGTTATAATCTTTACTACACTGATTAAATTTGCAACCCCTTCCTGTGAAACCTGGATTATCATGCATCTCATCACTGCCCTGCACTTGTGCTCGCTGAATTCTTGTTGAATTTTTAAGCTTCCCTGCCATTGATCTCTTACCCCCATTAGTTTAAAACTCCATTGACAACCCTAGTTGCACAATTTGACAGGAAACTGGTCTCAGCATGGTTTGACCAAAGCCCTCCCCAATGAAACATGTCTCCTTCTGTCCCCCAGTACTGGTGCCAATGCAACCATGAATTGAAACCCACTTCTCCCACACATCTCTAATCTTATTTACTCTGTGTCAATTTTCATGTGCTGCAGATTGCAATCCTGAGATTACCACCATTGTGGTTCTTCCTTTTAATTTAGCCCAGAGGTGTTCATAATCTCTCAGCAGAACGTCTTTCCTAGTTCTGCCTATGTTGTTGGTACCTACGTGGACAATGACAACTGAATCCTTCCCCTCCTATTCTATGTTCTTAACCATGGCACCAGGCAAGCAACAGAGCCTTTACGACTCTATCTTTGCTGCAAAGAACTGTATCCACTCCCCTAATAGTGCACTTCCCTATTATTACCACATTTTCTTCTCCCTGAACTTGAATGGTGCTCCATACCATGGAGCTTTGGTCAGTTCACTCATTCTCCTTACAGTTTGCATCCTCGTCTACACTGGAACCGAGAATCTTGTACCTACTGGACAACAGTGGAGCCTCCTTTAAAGCTTTATTCTGGATCCCTATGCCTGCCTCGTTCTCAGCAATATCTTCCTGCCCCGACCACAGATCAAATTTGGCTGTCTTGTATAACACTGTTCAAGTAGCTGTTCATTCCCTAATGTTTTGCAGTGTCCACAACTCATTTCTGAGCACAAGTTCCTTGAGCATTTGACACTTTCTGCAGATGTGGCCATATAGATTGCACTAAAATCCACCAGCTCCCACAAAATACAGCTTCAGTACATGGCCTGCCCAGCCATCTCTATTCTATTTAAGCGATTAACTTGGAAGTTAAATATATTAAAACTGAACTCTTCAGCTGTAATAAGTACCTCACTTTAAACCACTTGGCCAAAAGAGGCTGAAGAAATACCCACAAATCATCTACCAGATTTTAATCTGATGTTACATTTCGTTCAGACAGCCATAACAGGTTGGAGGGGCTCTCTACCACCAATTCATATCTGCTATTGCTACTGTCCTTATCACGCAACTCCACTCTCACATTCTGCGTCATAGTGATACTCTTCCCAGTTGCCTTCACAGTGACGCCGACCTGCTGCATACTCTTTCCTGTCTGAACTTGGACGCAAATGGGATACAGTAGCTCTTCTGGGTCTGCAGCACAACGGGAAACCGGAGCAGAGGCAGCAGAAAGAATAACTCTGGACAATGCCTTCTGCCACATTGGAGTCAGAACCCAACATGCTCCTTGGCATTGACAAGAGGCTGTTTGGCAGACTGACACTGTTCAGCCTTCTACTGACTGCAAGGGATATGGCAGTATGCAGAGGCAGCCAGTGATACAGAATCCATTCAGCTCAACTTTGGCCACACCAGATTTATGTGCTGACAACCTATACTCAATTGATACAGGCAGGTATTGACCATGGCCCAGGCCCTAAAAAGAAAGCAAAGCAATTTTTAATTCTGTTTTAGACTGAAGATCAGACTTGTAATCAATATTCCTTCTAATTATTTCTTGCTGTGCCTATCCTCCTTGTTGCACAGTGCAGCCTGGCCTTTGCATTTCTTGAAGGGAACATTGGGATAATATTGCCCTATCATTATGCTTTGTAACTATATAGTACCAAAGCGGCTGCACTGTTCAACTATATTCAATACCTACTCTGTTGGTAGGTAGTGGCAGTATTCAGATACTGCAGGAGCATGAAACATTGTGAAATGCAAAGCCTGGTGGCAAAATATTGCATGGCACTTAATCAGCCATAAATCTAGTGGAGTGTCATACATAGCACAATATCACCCTCTAGTGATAGGCATAAAATATAGCAAGGGCAGCACATCCTCACCACTCACTTTTCAGATTATCATTGCACTCGTGTCTATTATTTGTTATCAAGACTTAGTGAAGAAGAAAGGACCACAGTGAAGGTCACCACTATGTCTGGTGTGGAATAGGGCAGTTTACTGGCAGGTAACACCCCAGTATACGAACAGCTATTACATTCTACAGATGTAACAATCATTAGCACACAGGAAATGTAGTTAGTAGGAGTCCATAATCCATCTGCAGCCAAATGGACATGGTTGTAAGTTGTTGGACCAGAATCTCAATTGTTATGGTGCAGAGGGAGGTCATTCAGCCCAACATACTTGTACCAGTTCAATTACCTGCTGCCAATCTCCTGACATTTCCTCATATCCCCGAATAGCATTTCTATGCAAATAATCATCCAATACCTCAGCAGACCCTGGCAGTGCATTCCATACCCTGACTATCTGCTGTGAAAATCTCTCTCCTCATTGGCAAACAAAGCAAGGGTAGTCACTTTAAATCTTGGTTTTCTTTTACGAGTGGGATCAGCTTCTCCTTATCTACTCTGTCCAGCTCACTCATGATTTTGAAAACCCTAATCAAATATTCTCTCAGCCAGCAGCCTTCTCACCAAGAAGGGCAGTCACAAATTTATTCAATCTAACCTCATAACTGAAGTTTCTAATTCTTACAGCCATTCTTGTAAATTGCTCTCCAATGCGTTCACTACTTTCCTGTAATATGGCACTCATACTGTACACAATACTTCAGCCGAGGTCTTGCACAAGTTCAACATCACCCCCTTGCTCATGTACTGTGCCCCATTAATAAAACTGAGAACACTGTACGCTTTATAACTGCTCTCTCCACCCGTTCTGACACCTCCGACGATCTGTGCACAAACATCCAACTCTCTCCGGCACACCCTTTAGAGTTGTATCCTCTATTTTATACTGTTTTCCAACTGACATGTATCACCTCACACTTCTCTGAATTAAACCTCATCTGCCACCTATCCACATACTCCACCAACTTGCCTATGCCTTTTTGGAGTTCTACACTGTCCTATTCAGTTTTCAATTCTTCCAAATTTACTGTTATCTGCAAAATTTGAAACGGTCTCCTGCATACAGATCTAGATCATCAGTAAAAGTAAAGGTGAAGTTGCCATTGTCCTACTGGACCATAAGGCTGCTCTCTCATTATGGAGACAAGAATGGTGGTAGTTTAACCAAAAAGTCACCACATCTCAGCTGAGGAGAGAGGGGGAGAAGAAAAACAGTTGTTCATGGCAACCTCAGATGGTGTGGGAATTGAACCCATGCTGTTGGCATCACTCAATCACAAAACAGCCATCCAGCCAACTGAGCTAACCACTCTTCTACTGTTTATATGCCTAAAGACAACTTTGGGATTTCCTTTTATGTTAGCTGCTAGTCTTTTTTCATAGTTCCTCTTTTCTTCTCCAATTTGCTTTTCACCTCCAGCCTAAACCTTCAGTTTTCCAGCTAGAACTCAGTTGTATTTTCTGCCTTACACGTCATAAGCACACCTTTTCTTGCTAATGCTAATTTCCACTTCCTTTGTTATCGAGGGAACACTGGATTCACTTTTCCTACCTTTTCCATTTGACAGAGTATATCTTGACTGCATCCAAAGCCATCTGCTTTTTGAAGGAGGCCATTGTTCAAACACTGCTTTTCCTACCAAATTCTTAGTCCAATCAATTGCACTCAGCTCTGTTCTTGCCCTTTAAAGTTAGGTCGTCTCTCACACAACAATCCATTGCAAGAAAAATCATTCTCCAAAACCATCATAAACCTTAGAATCGTACAGCTGTACAGCAATGGAAATAGAATCTTCAGTCCAACTCATCCATGCCGACCAGATATTAATGTAGTCACATTTGCCAGCATTTCGTCCATATCCCTCTAAACCCTTCCTAATTCATATACCCAACCAGATGCCTTTTAAAATGTTGTAACTGTACCAGCCTCCACCACATCGTCTGGCAGCTCATTCCCCACACACATCACCCACTGTGTGAAAAAACTGACCCTTAGGTCCCTTTTAAATCCCTCCCATCTCACCTTAAACCTATGCCCTCTAGTTTCGGGCACCGCTATTCTGGGGAAAAGACCTTGGCTTTTCACCCTATCCATGCCCCTCAGGATTTTATAAACTTCTACAAGGTCACCTCATAGCTTCCGACACTCTAGGGAAAATATCCACAACTTATTCAGTCTCTCCCTATAGCTCAAGTCCTTCAACCCTGGCAACATCTTTGTAAATCTTTTCTGCACCAAATTTTGCAAAGTCCTTTCTATAGCAGGGAGACCAAAATTGCATGCAGTATTCCAAAAAGTGGCCTAACCAATGTCCTGCACAGCCGCAACAATGACCTCCCAGCTCCTATATTCAATGCACTGACCATTAAAGGCAAGCATACCAAACGCCTTCTTCAGTATCCGGTCTACCTGGTACTCCACTTTCAAGGAACTATGAACCTGCACTCCAAGGTCTCTTTGTTCAGCAACACTCCCCAGGACCTTACCATTAAGTGTATAAGTCTTGCCCTGATTTGCCTTTCCAAAATGCAGCACCTCACATTTATCTAAATTAAATTCCATCTGCCACTCCTTGGTCCATTGACCCATCTGATCAAGATCCCGTTATATTCTGAGGTAACCTTCTTCGCTGTCCACTGAACCTTTAATTTTGGTGTCATCTGCAAACTTACTAACCATACCTCCTGTGTTTACATCCAAATCATTTATATAAATGACAAAATGCTGTGGACTCAGCACCGATCCTTGCAGCATGCTGGTCACAGGTCTCCTGTCTGAAAAGCGATCCTCCACCACCACCCTTTGTCTTCTAACTTCGAGCCAGTTCTGTATTCAAATGGCTAGTTCTCCCTGTATTCCGTGTGATTTATGCTTGCTAACCAGTCTACCATGAGGAACCTTGTCGAATGCCTCACTGAAGTCCAGACAGCTCACCACCACTCTGCTTCATCAATCCTCTCTGTTACTTCTTCGAAAAACTCAATCAAATTAGTGAGACATGATCTCCCAAACACAAAGCCATGTTGACTATCCCTCAGCAGTCCTTGTCTTTCCAAATACACGTAAATCCTGGTCCTCAGGATCCCCTCCAACAACCTGCCCACCACTGACGTCAGGCTCACCGGTCTATAGTTCACTGGTTTTTCCTTACCACCTTTCTTAAATAGTGGCACCATGTTAACCAAACTCTAGTCTTCTGGCACCTCACCTGTGGCTATCGATGATACAAATATCTCAGCAAGAGGCCCTGCAATCACTTTCCTAGCTTACAATGATCACTGTCTCCGAAGTATTTCCTCACTGACATGTGATTCACTTGGCCAACCTTACTTCCAAGGATCAGGTCTAACCATGCATCTTTTCTGTTGGACTGGAGTATTGGAAACTCTTCCAAACACAATCTAGGAATACTTTTCTCTCAATGCCCCTTACACTATCAGTATCCTGATCTATACTTGGGCAAGTGAAGTCCTCCACAGTAACCAGAGTTAATTGCAGTGGGATCGCTCTCATTTCAGGAACAAGCCCCACATACCACAAGAAACCTAACAAAGAATCAAATGGGATAACAGTAAGTCATTGCTTTGAAGCAGCAAATGATCAACTACATTCTCCAGCAAAGCAAAACAAAACCGATCCTCAACGTAGAGACAAAGCGAGCTACCAATTTGCTGGTCTGAAGAGAGGATGATAGAGATACGATGCCTCAGTACAGGAAGAAAATAAATGGAACTGAAGCACCTCACTCAAACCCAAGCGATGACATTTTGTGAGATAGATCTTTTTCTCAATCATGGCATGCAACATATTCTACATTTAAAGGCAGGATCAGCATGACATAATCCAATGCTACAGTAGTTAGTAACAGACCTAAGAAATTTGCAATGGGAGTCTCATTTAAGACCGCTTTACTGATGTCCCTAAACAAGAATTTCAAGGATCAACATATGTACCTCTGGCTAACATTAACTTGGTTCAGATGGTGTCACCTCCTCTCTGTTCAAAAACAGTGGGTTTAAGTCCCCAGTCTGGAACTTGAACAAATAATCCATGTCAACACCGCTGTGCACGATTGAAAGCACACTGCAACTATGCTCCCTCAACCAAGAGGGATGCAGGCTTGCAATCAATTTCCCACAAGCCAATTCCAGTCAAGCCATTCTAAGCATTGAACAGATGAAATGGTGTAAGAGTTGCTAATATCCCACTGCCTGCTTGAATGCAAGCTGCAAAAGGACCAGGAATAAGTCACCCATAGCCCTCGAATGGCAAGCACAGAAGAAAATATGGGAGAGATTTCGATCTCAGTCGAGGAGATTAATCATTAAACCTGCTGTATTAGAGAGAATCCTCCTACCCGTTAGTAGATATTAGAATGCAAGAAATTTTAATAATTGAGAAAAGTGATTAGATCAAAGTCCAACCCTTCATTTGACTATAAACAATCCACCCTCTAATCATGATATTTAACCCAGCTTCTCATCATGTCTCAGCTCTCAGCCTAAAAATATATCTAAATTTCACCTTCTATATCGCTCACTTCAAAGTTTCTTCCCTTATAACCTAACCCATTGTTCTATTAAACAGAAGAGGTGGTGTCAATACCATTACAGAGATTTTGGATCAGAGCACATATTTTACAGGATAAGTGACGAAGTTGCAATAAGTTATTAAAAAGGCACATGGAATTTTGGTCTTTATTATTAGCGAGTTTAAAAATAGGGAAGATGTGTTGCAATATTACACAGTGGTGGCAGAGTTGTGCATGGTGCACTATATCCAGTTTTGGTCCTGTATTACGTTTTAAAAGAGATATGCTGCTATTTAAGAGACTCAACAGGCTAATTACTGGGATGAGGGGGTTAGTTTATTAAGAACAGCTAAACAGATTAGGCCTTTATTTATTACAGTTTAGAAAATTTCAGGATGACGTTTGAAACTGACATGATTGAGGGAACTTGACAGGCTAGATATTTCCACTCCTCAGGGGGATCTTGAACTGGGGTCATTGTTACAAAATAAGGGATCACTCATTTAAAACTGATATACAACAAAATTTCTTCTCCGAGGGTGGTGAATGTCTACAGTTCTCGACGGAGTTATGGATGCTTGATCGTTGGAAGTATTTAAGGAGCTGGTAAGTAGATTTTTAAGTTATCAAGGAGCTAAAGCATGGGGCAGACTTGTAATGTACTGAATAATTAACTCCTGTTCCTATTTCTAATGTTCTTAGGAAGATTGTAAGTAGCTGGGAATCAAAGAAAATTTCACATCTGCTACCACCCGCAGAGCTCAGACAAAACGAAAGAATGACATTTAAAAAAGTATCAGCTAAAGCCACGCAAGACACTAGGCAGGGCTAGGCAGATTTGTTGCCTAGTATCCAAATGGGACCGAGGGTAACACCTAGTGGAGTGACTGGATTAACTCCATTTCAGTTAGTTACAGGAAGGGCAATGAGATTACCAGGAAATGCTGTGACTGGTTGCGAGGAATTAGGTACCTCAAGTTAACAGGTTAAATGATTTGTGAGAAAACAGTACAACTGCTGCACAAACAGTAGATTAGAGATCAGCAATTTCTGCACAATATAGAGGCATAGGTGAAAACAGGACAGGCAGAGGTTCCCAGTGAGAAAGATGAGGTTTGCACCTAGGTAGGATGGACCATACATGCAATACATATGTTTACAAAGACATAAAAGGAACAGGGCACCAGAAACACTAGTCATAGCTGAAGTGTTTGGCTAATTAATTTTTAATTTTGTATTGCAGAACTAATCCTCAATTAACTGGTGACAACCACAACATTATTTGTTTAATTTACAGAATGTTGTTTGTCATGCCAATGCTTGTAGAATTGATGTTTTTAGCATTGGGAACGAGGCATACTGTCCAATACACACCCATGTGATACTGACTTATGCTAACTGATGATGAGATCTTGTCTGACAAAGTGCACCATGAGCTAATACAGCCACAATATTGGTTTGCTTGAGTAACGTTCAGGTCAAACCCCAGCACTGTATACAGCTTTGGTCAAACAAGTGGCAGCACAGACAGCTTGGTTTTATGGTGGGGAGCAGAAACGGCTGCATCTCCAGTCCAGGTACTAGGTCGACTGAAATGCAATTTGGTCAATGATGTTGTTACAATATTCAACAGAGGAACCACAGTAGTAAATTCAAATGGTTTGACAACGGCAGACTGAAAGGTTTGGACTTTAAGTTATCAATCCCAGGAAATCTGAGGAAGGGGACAAGGATCTGGGACAGGCAGCTCAGTACAAACCAAGACCTGACACATATTCAGAGCTTGGCTAAGTACCAGAGAGCCATGCCTGGTCTACTAGTAGATTGATCATGATGCAGGCAAATTCTTCAAATGATGCAATCAGAAATGATGTATGCAGCACCCATGAATCAAGGATACTCCAGCAGACAAGGTAAATATCTTTCGAGATAAATTCATAAGGGTGAGGCACCCTGTTCTGGCTGTCAGCTCAAGGGTTTTACATGTGCATACATGACGACCGTGGAACGTATTCTTTATGATAATATGTTGATTGGTATTGCTCTGCCAGTCCAGTTATTGCAGAGTCTACACCCATTAAGACACTGTATAGGATAGAGAATATTAAGGCAATGGACAGGATTATTATCTGAGGTACCATAACACACCACAGCGTGGTAAAGATGAGCCCAAGGCTGAGCACTTAATAAGAAGGAATGTAAAGCTGAACTTCATTTCTTTTTTTTTAAATTTTTCTGCCTTTAGATTCAATGTTTTGGTATATTTTTGAGCTTTAAAATGGCACCGAAGAGGTGCGACAATATCAACACATTGTATTTTGTTACAAAATACACGTAACAACAAATAAATCAAATACAATAAGGACTAGTTTAGATAGACGCAGCATACACTTGTCTGATGTATATAACAGAAGGAAGGAAAGGTGTGAATTTATTGCTACAATGGATACTATATGGACAGCAGAAGAGCGCCATCTCATACAAGTGATGGGAGCCACTGTATTACCACATGGCTCCTGGGGTTGATACAGGAACATTCGATTGTGCCTTATCCATAATCATTGTGCTTACGTCCACAGATTCCAGTTAGAAAGGTGGAACTAGTTGAAATATATAAACTGTATAAATATATAAACCATAAAAGACAATCTGATGCAATACTAAAATCTGTTCTCCTAGGTTACCCCATTATTGGCCAAACACCTCACCCTAATCTGGGGAAAGGCATAGTGAGGGTATAGGACATTTTGTACACTCCGGTAATAGGCCTGAGCCTTAATTAATAACATTGAACATCTAGGCTCTACAATCTGGTGTGAGGAATTATGAAACAAATATACAAATACATCAATGGATTCGAATAATCTCCCATGCCCAAGTTATTGCACAACTGTTACCAATTTTATTTCAATCATGCCTGAGTTATTGCACCAGGTGGTCATATAGAAGGTGGGAGTGGGGATTCAGAAATCAGGCCAATAGGGCATTAGGTCAAGGACCTCAACTGAAGGACCAAATAGTAAAGGTGGTTTGACTCATTGTCTTTAAAACCATAAACCGGATATCTGGCCAGAATCAATGGGTTGCAGAACATAATGGAAAAGGTCTGGTGGGGGAGGGGAGTTAAACTAGCTTGGCTAAAACTTTAAGTCTGTCAGTCATCAACTAAAATGGAACTAAAACAAACTATCCAAACCGTCAAGTCAGTAGCTTTCAAAAGCTTTAGGTGAGGAACACAAGGTTTATAAAAAAAGTGACACACCAATCCTGAAGTGTGAGAATTACAATTTTAATGTGCATGCTGTGATCTGTATAAAGCTTGAAGGTGTTCAGTAATACAATAGAGTATGCTCTGACCCTCTTATATTAAAGTTTCTCCCCATGCCTGCGTATGAAATAAATGATTGTTTACTTGTCCTCCTGGAGTCTTCTATCAATTTGTCAAGTACTTCTACAACACTCATTATCTTGCTAAAACATCTGATTATTACAAGCACAGCAATCTCTAAAATTCTTCTTCCTCACTGCTATCAGCTGGCAGGATCCACAGACCAACTTACCTGGGTGACCAAGGGCTGAAGTAATGCAGCTGACCCTTTCCCTACACATCGGACAGCAAAACGCAAACACCGACAACAGCGCTCCACAATTCGATTGTCAGCTTGGTGCTTGTTCAAGGTTTCAGATAAGACGGGCCAGATCTAAAAACAGGGAAATGGAAAGTTAAAGGGAACTTGAGAACTCAAAGTAACACAGAAATAAAAACTTGTCTTTAATCCCTTTCATGACCTCAAATCATCCCAAAGCACTTTGAAGATATGAAGTACATATTCATGCATGCGCACATGCGTTTGTGTTCACTGTTTTAATACAGGAAATGCAGCAGTCTATTTGCACACAGTAAGCTCTCAGGAGGGGCATGTGATGAAGACAAAAATAGATCTATTTCTTTAGTGATGCTGATTGAGGGATAAATATTAGCCCAAGACAATAATAGTGACTTCCCTAATCATCTTCAAAATAATGCGCTGGGATCTTTTACATTCATTTGAGAGAACACACAGAGTTTTGTCTGAATTTCACTTAAAAGATCAGGAAGTGCAAGCCCTGATGTTTGTACCTTTGTCTCCGGACAGGGATTTGAATCCCCAATTTTTTTAACATCAGAGGCAGAAGTGCCAACAACCAAGACACAGAAAAGCAAAGTATGTGAAACTGCACCGTAGGTTGAAAAAAACCAGGGACCCTTATTTAAAACATTATCGCTTTGCACTCAAGTGTTTTGCACTTGTAATACTTTGTTCATTTTTAAGGATACAACTTTCAATTCTGAAGCAGAGTTTTCATTTTAACCTCTATTTTTCATTAGTAGAACAGAAGCAAGACTGTTCGAATTAACTTCTTGAAGGCAAAGTTCATCATCTGAGGTAAGGAATGTTCATGCTAAGCAACAGAAGACTCATTCTGGATATCCACTTTAAGAGATCAAAAGCTCCTAAAATCTGATGCCATATTTTTCTTTTCATTAAATCACGAGATGTGAGCCTTGTTGGAGGTGCACTCATTTAGGCAAGTGGAGAGTACTCCATCATACTGCTGACATGTGCTTTGCAAAATGGTGAAAAGGGTGAGTTACCTCTGTAGAATTCCCAGCGTCTGACTTGCTGTAGCCCCAGTATGTATTTAGCTAAATTTAGTCAAATTGAGGGTTGAGACTTGGTGGGCCTGATGTTCAGAAAAATGACCATGGAAGTCAAAGGAACTTGTCTCCTATCCCATTCCACTAGCTACACCATCAACTTTCAATAACAGTGGAGTGCAACATCTAAAAGTTGTATTCTAGAAATTCACGAAGGCTCCTTAGAAAACACCTTGCAAAACCACGACCACTACCATCTAGAAAGACAGGGGCAACAATACATGGAGATACTACCACCTGCAAGTTTGGCTCCAAGCCACTGATCACCCTGACATGGAAACATATTGCTGTTCTTTCAGTGTCACTGGTCAAAATCCTGGAACTCCCTCTCTCACAGCATTATGGGATTACCTACAGGAGATTATGGCTGGCCAAGATATGACAAACACATTAAAAACTTCAAACAAACAAAAATAATATAGTGGGAAATTCTGTATTCATCTGAAATCACCTAACCAGTTTTATTTAGCATCTCAATGGGCAACACCTTCAGCACTGCCAGCCTAGAAACCTACTCAAGACCCGAAGTAGGGTTTAACCCATAACTGTGCAACTCAACTCAGCCATGCTGTTGCTATGTCACTTAACTCAGTCCAGCTGTCAAACATAACAAGGACTGTGCAATATGAACTCATGAATCAATTACAAAGCGTGCTTTGAAACACAAAGGGAGCATCTTAATTGAAAACCAAAAGAAATCGGTCTATGCCATAGAGTACAAATAAATGAGAAAGGAAGGATTAGGTATGAATAAGTCTGGATTCATCTACTAAAAGATAGGAGTCACTAACACCACACAGGATAGCGTCTTTAGAAAAGAGGGGGAGAACGAGGCTATTTTTTCCAAAAAGTCATTCCCTAGAATTCGTCAACATTAGCATGACTTAAACTGACTCCTCATTCTACCTCCCCTTGAGGTTGGGAAGATTGCCTTTCTATTTAAACTACTGCATGCTATATGGCAAAGGATTTCTCAATGCTGCTAGATAGGGAGTTTTAGAATTTTGACACAGAGACAATGAAGGAACAGATGACGTGTTTCAAGTCAGGATGGTAAGTGACTTCAAGAGTATTGTTTTCCAATACCATTACTGTTTCTTCCCCTCTAAATTGAGGAGTTTGATTGTATGGATGGTACTACCAAAGGCAGTCTGGCCTAGTGGTATTATCGCTGGACTGTTAATCCAGAGACCCAGATAATGTTCTGGGGACCCGGGTTCGAATCATCCCATGGCAGATGGTGTAATCTGAATTCAATAAATATCTGGAATTAAGAATCTAATGATGACCATGAATCCATTGTCGATTGTCAGGAAAAACCTATCTGGTTCACTAATGCCCTTTAGGGAAGGAAACTGCCATCCTTACCTTGTCTGGCCTACATGTGATTCCAGACCCACAGCAATGTGGTTGAGTCTTAACTGCCCTCTGGGCAATAAATGCTGGCCAATGGGATGCCCTCATCCCATTAACGAATAAAGAAAAAAAAGAGAAAAAAAAAAGTACAGTCTGCAGCCTCATGTGCGAGTGGTGGAAAGAGTGCATGCTTCAATTCTGAAGCCAATCACACTTACCTATTGCTCTCTGATTTGCTACTCCATTTCTCACGAGGCTCCGTAATATTGTTAAAACAACATTCATTGAAGGGAAGGGATGAGATGGACAAAACACCAGAATGGATGTGTCAGAACAGACCCTATCACATATTTTATGAAGGAGTGAATTCCAAGATGGGGTTGAAGAGCAGGTGGTTAGAATGTATTAAGTCAAACAATCCAAAAGAACACTCCATACCCACAACAAACAACTCATCCATCAATAGCACTGACTGTGCCCTTCTGACAAATGCACTTACTTCATGTATCACCTTCTGACATGGATGCGTCTGACCATTTTCAACAATAGGGTTTGTGTGTCTGAAATGTGACCAATTTAAATTATTAATAACTCATTTGACATTCTATACAGAATTCAATAAGATACGAAAAAGAAAAGACATTTGTTGATGCAGAAGAGAAATTAAAAACAATACTCAGTATCTATGGTCACAAAGCCTTCTCACACTAAGTTAGCATAGTTGGGTACAATGACAATGACCATAGATAGTAAAAGCATCCAAACTGCCCACATGAAGGTCTGATCAGTTGGACATTCAATACTCTATCCTGACTGAGTGTTCACAATGGTCACACAAAATTTCAAGTCCAGTGGTGTCTTAGTGGAGTTTCACTACACATTGTGACAGAAAAAAATGCAACTTTGAAACATCTTCTAAAACCTGAAGTTTTTTTCCCCCAATTTCAATTACTTCTGGAAAATAAATTATTTATTTACTCTGTGACAATTACATAGATAATCTTCATATACAATATGGGTAGCAGTTCTTCACTTTCTGCATTTTATTTGAACAGTTCTTTATTGCAAAGTCTAAGAAATAGATGAAATTTCATGATAATCTTTACTTACTTGCATCTTTCTTTCCCAAATACCTTTGCAAAATTTATTCAATTTTTTAAACCCAACTGTTGCAGTTCACAACACTTTCGACCATTCCTCTATAAAGAATTTTGCAGTGGGGTTTTAAAAGTAAATACAAGCCAGAGCCGATGCATGGCCACTGAGTTTAAATGCTCACGCTGTTTCTCTCTCCATAGAGGCTCCCTGAGCAAAAGAATTAATCTATTTTCATCTTAAAAGCAACAGGCATGCAAATTGAATTTTAAAGACAGATATCCAGGCAAAGATTAATTAGTGCGCTCAACTTGAATTGATCGCTCAATATGTAGCTGCAGCTCATATTCATTTCTACTGTTAATGCATAAAAGCCTTCAAAATTGTTGGATATTGTTATAAACCTTACTTCTGGTAGTTATACATGAATTCCAAAAAGGGTAAAAGGATTTATTTAAAAATGTACTCTGACTAGCTCATTACTATTCACACTTTTTTTATTCAAAGCATTGAAATTTCAGCAGGTATATCTTCAATTCTTTTGGCTCTAAGTTCTGGAATCGCGCTCTCAACATATTCTCACTGCTTCACTCCACTTTCCTCCCTAATATTTACTTTTGATCACCTGCGTCACCATCTCCTTACAAAGCCTGATGTTCAATTTTGTCTAAATTGATCCTGTGAAAGAACGTCAAGACATTTTAATACACTAAAGGCACTTTATAAACACAAACAGTATTTAGATCAACAGCAGTGCAAGGGTTAATCACTGAGCCTAGTTACACACATTCCAAATTTGTACAGTAGAATAAAGCTGATCATTGTGGGGTCCCATTCAACAACTTGTACAGCAGAGTCAGGTTTAATCGTTGCCCAGTTTTTATAAGGTGGCAAGGGCTAATCACTGTATGTAGTTTCTGTTTTGTAAGGCAGTACATTATGGCAAAGTGCCCAAGAATCTGCTAACTGTGAGCACAGGTTATAAAAATGGTTTTCACTGCAACATTCCCTTGATAGATCATCTGATTCAGGCTGTGAGCAACGGAGCCATAATGACCAGTGAAGACCCAGGTTTAAATACTACTGTGGTCGGTTAGCCGATCTCAGCTGATCCGTAGCAATAATCTACAATGTTCTTGTTCCCACTGCTGGAAGCACAGAATGAGCACAAGAATATGTGCAGGTAGCTGGCAGATATGGAATTCACTGTAGTATTTCTACAGTTGAGAAATACTGCACTTCTGTACCTACGGAACTTTGGTGTTGCGGGGACTGAGCAGCATCAGCAGCAAGAAAGGAATTAAAGGGAAGAAAATAAAAAACAACCTAAGACTGATTTTTCCCTTTTTCCACTTCAATACAGGAGAGAAGTGGACAAATCTTTCGCTGTTTAAATACAGAAAACCACAAAAAAAATGACTATAGAGAACACAGGAAAGAGAAGTTTCTGCAGCATCCAGGTCACAGACATGCATTCGCTATTCTGGGGGCAACTTTGCTGCCCTAACGGGGAAGCTGTTTAGGGAGCAGGTGCAGAGTGTACAAACTATACATGACAGTGTACAGACAGTGCAGGAGAGCTATGTGATACAAATGGAGACCAAGAGAAGAAGATAAACAGGTTTTAAAGATATATAGCTATTGTGTCAGTGTGAGCTCCAAGTCACTGAACATGCTGATTTCCAACAGGTTATTGTGAAAAGACAGATCAGAAAGTGAACTCCAAAAAACTGACAATCATTGGAAAAAAAAGACATATCTTGCTGTAGCTTTTCACCTTACACCAAAATGTGTCTTTTTCCAGTAATATTGAACTCTGTGCTACCAAATAACAGAATGATAATATAGACAGTAACCATGACAGAGCTACATGCCCCAATCTCTTTCCAACGGCCCCAAGCAGATGGCTGTGTGTGGGTTATATATAGCATGTAAAAAGAAGGACTATCATTATAAGCGAAACACATTGTTACAGCTTGAAAAGCAGTGAGCCAGTCATGCAATTAGGACCTTGCTAAAATACCATACAAATCAGTAACATGGATGGTGCGTCATGATTTTGATTAGTTTTGTGAACAGCAGTCTGCAGCGGAGTTCATGTGAGATCATGTGAGAACTAAGGCATATACTCAAATTCTGAAGTTACCAACAGAGGCTGAAAATAGGAAAGTGTTACTGAAACTGTACAAAGCATTAGTGAGACTGCACTTGGAGCAATGCATACAATTTTGATTCCCTTACTTGAGGAGGGATGTAATTGTGTTGCAGATAGCTCAGAGGAAGCTCATCAGATTGATTCCAGAGGTGAGGAGTATGTCTTGTGAAGATATATGAAGCAGCTTAGGCCTATACTCTCTGGAGTTTAAGAATGAGAGGAGATCTAATTAAGGTTTATAAGATGTAAAAGGGGATTGACAAATTAAATATAGAACGGATATTTTTTCACGTGGGGCAATCTAATATGACAGGTCAAAGAGTCTCTTAAAAGGGCCACGAAACTGTGAAATTCACTATCCCAGATTGCGGCAGATGCTGGGACATTGTCTATCTCCTTAAATGTACTTAAATTTTAAACACATAATGGGTTGAAGGGTAATGGAGGGTAGACAGGAAAGTGGAATTGAGGCTGAGGAGATCAGCCGTGATCATATAGAATGGTGGAGCAAGCTCGAGGGGATGAATTGCTTACTCCTGCTCCTAGTTCTACGATGTTACGGACGAGCAGACTGAAGAATGATCAGGTCCTTCTAAGCAACATACAGGGGAGACAGGAAAAGATTTAGGGGTTTCACAGTCTGAATCATATCATGAAAGATCAAGCACATAGGTTGATAATATAATACAATGGGATGGTGAGAAACTGGCACAAACTATGTGGGTGTAGGTTAGAAAGTATGGCATACACCACAGACGATGGTTCCTGAGATCTCAGTGGAGCCTAACGATTGTTGTGCAAAGTATTCATACTTCAGCAATTTAAATGTCTAATAAAACAAAAGTGAAAATTTTGCTCTTGTAAATGTAAACTGCATTTATTTTGGACTTACTCCTGCCATCAGCAATAAGATCTGTACCCACCAGAACTTCATCCCAGATGGCAAATTAAACAATTTTCACAATACCAATCTACTGGCCTAAAGTGCAGAGTTTGATGCATCTCCTAGTCTTTTGGAACCGATGCAGCAAACCAGATGATAGAAAATTCTGATCTTGTATTTTAGATGTTCAATCTAATGAACTATGTTGTCGCAATAACAGTGTTCTGCAGTTTTAGTTTAGCAACATATATGTACGTAGCATTGCTACAAGCACCAGGAAGAACTGACTTTCGTCATCACAGACGAAGTATGAAATAGCAAGGTGCACGAGTGATTCCTCCCACAATACCAAACCACTTATTTATGAGAAAATAAAGAGGGGGAACTAGTCCTAAAACTCATTTGAAGAACGAATGGTTTCAACAAATCAACACACGATAAGGGAACAAAATCTTTTATTCATTCACAGAGCAGTTATGTTGCTAGCAAAAATCAGTATTCATTGTCCATCCTTACCTTGAGAAGGTAGTCATGAGTTAACCTCTTGAACTACTACCCCTGCAGTGTAGTGAAAGTGCTCCCACAGTCAAAAGATAAGTGGCTCCAGGATTCTCACCCAGCAATGATGAAAGAACAGTGGGCATCCAAACCAAGATGTGGTGAAACCTAGTAGGTAACTTAGAGCTGGTGGCTATTAATGGGCCTTTTGGCCTGAGAAACCTTACTGACCCTTTGTAAAAGCATTCCAGTGATCAAATCAAAGCTCTACAATCCTGCTACATTCGATACTGAATGATGGTAGACAGTTAAACAACTAACAAAAACAAAGTTGCTGGAAAAGCTCAGCAGGTCTGATAGCATCTGTGAAGGAAAAAACAGAGTTAACGTTTCGGGTCCGGTGACCTTTCCTCAGAACTGGTGGTGGCTGGGAAAATGTCAGTTTATATGCAGTTGTTAAACAACTAATGTTAGGAGGTTCCAAAAACATACTAATTCTTAACAATGGCAGAGCGCAGCATCAGAGGGCAAAAGACAAGGCTGCAATGTTGGCAGTCACCTTCAATCACAAGTAACAAGTAGATGACCCAAAATGCCTCCTGTGGAGATCTCTAACTTTGGAGGCCAATGTGATTCATTCCATCAAGCACAGGATACAAAGGAAATTCCACAGGCACCGACAACATCTCTCTTAGCTATAGTGCTGAAGGCTCATGCTCCAAACTAACTGCACATCTAACCAGCTGTTCCAGCTACACCAATGTCATCTACAGCACAAGATGGAAAATTATCAAGGTACACCCTGTTCACAAAGAGCAAGTCCAATGTAATCTGCACAACTGCTGCTCCACTTATAACTATCAGTGAAATGATGGAATGTGTCACTGATATTGCTACCAATGAGAATTTATTCAACTGATTATTCTGGGTTTTGCCAGTACCACCGAACTTTAATCATTATATCCTTGGTCCAAACACTGACAAAGCAACCAAGTTTCAGCGTGGAAACGAGAGTGACTGCCTTTGACTGCAATGCAACTGATTGCAGCAGAGTCAAAATAAAGTCAGAAATCAATAGGAAGCATTGGGAAACCTCTCTACTTAGTGGAATCATGCCAAGCATGAAGGAAGATGGTTGATTCCTAGGGCATTACTGCAGGCATTCCTCAGAGTACTCCCCTAGCTGGAATCATCTAAAACTGCTTCAATCTATTGCCAACCCTTCATCATAAGGTCAGAAATGCAAATATTCACCAAAGATTGCAGGGTTTAATCCCACTCCTAATTCTGCACATAATGAAACAGACAGTGTTCACTGTCAGTTCTGAAAGTGGATCACTGGACTTGAAACATGAACTATGTTTCTGTCTCCACAGATGCTGCTGGGCCTGCTAAATTTCTCCAGCAATTTGTTTTTGTTTCGTTTGTACCACAATCAGCAATGTAACTGTACCATCACAACAGCACAGTAGAGATAATTTTGAGAAAATACAACATACCTGAAAATAACAGCCAATCGATCCAGCCATATGGTGGGGTCTGTAGCAAGGCCATTGGCAGGCTCTTGTGCCAGGAGCTGCAAAATAAAGAAAACACGAACAACCTGATGAAGTGGGATTGAACAGATGGGGAGAGGAAGTGGGAAAGCAAATGTTTAACAAGAGAGAATTATTTGAGATGGAGAGCGGACCAGAGTTAGGTTTGGAACATCTATGACATCTACAGCCAGCAAAGAAAAACAGAAGCATTCTATGCCACAAGTTTGGTCCAAACTCAGGAGGTATTGTGTTGATCCATATGCCTTTTGTCTACTCTCTTACCTTTTTCAGTGCCATCACTTGTACAGCACACAACTCACTGAGACATTCGGTGATCTTCTCCAAAGGCAGCCGACAAAGAACAAGTGCTGTGCCTAAACAAAAAAAAAGTTATATCGCAAAAGCAATACACAATAATTCTCAACATTATAATCTAGCCTCCACTCAGATATTAGTAGCTTTGAAATAGACTGTGGATTTACTAAATATACCAAGTAGGTGTAGATGGTACAAAAAACAGAGCTGGTACTTTTGTACTTTTAAGCAAATTCATTGTGCAGGAAATAGGTTGTGGATTCAATTCAGGGGACATATTGTTTCTTACCTGATGCATTAGATAAAGATTACCTCCAGTAACCAAAACAAACTGAGGAACTGCAGATGCTGGAAATCAGAAATAAAAGTAGAAATCACTGAAAAAAAAACTCAGCTGGTGTGACAGCATCGGTGGAGAGAAAGCAAAGTTAGCATTTCGTATCCAGTCATCCTTATACTAGATCCGAAATGTTAACTGCTTTCTCTCCACAGACGCTGCCAGGCCTGCACAGTTTTTCCAGCAATTTCTGTTTGTTACCTCCAGTGATGCCTTTTTTTTGAAAAGGCACTAAAGGAGATCATCAGTCTCCAAGAAATATCACATGCCTCAGTGACTTTAACTCAACCCAATGTTGCAGTATTCTAGACAGGTTTTTAAAACTCTGCTCTCTCAAACCAGACTTTTGGTTCTATTCAAAATAATCTTTCCTCTGTTGAGTGTAGAGCAAACCGTAATCAGCCGATAATTTACTTTTCTTCGCAATGAAAGGTTAGCCTTATCTAAGTGATTGATCAGAAATATTAAAGAAAACCAAATCTTATCTCTAGTGTCACACCTATCCACTAAAGCCAACAGTAAAATTCACTTAACTTGCTGGTGAACTTACTAGGCTGGTCCAGACTATCACAGAAATGGGAAATAGAAGGAAAGAAGAAATTGGCAGGGTAAAATATTATGGTGTACATTGCTTTTGGACTTCAGTCAGGACACGAATACATCTTATGCAATTGCAATCATGAAGCAAATTCTGTGTCTTCAATAGTTATTGCGCTGATTAAGATTTTTAATACCTTTCAGGAGGCCAATGGCAGCTTCATGAGAGAGGCTGAATGTATCGAGGGAACGAACGATTTCCAGGAGGCCCTCAAAGTGCTGAGTCATGTGATCACGGCAGGAGGAACAGATATTTTGAATGGCTTTGGCTGATGCCGAGGCAAGTGCTTTCTCCCGTAGTCCTTTCATTAAATAATTTAACACTGGATCTTGAGGGATGGAGAGTAAGAAAACAAAAACATATGATCGCTTTTGGGTTTACATATTTGCTATTGATAGAATTTAATGGAATGGAAACATGCTATCTGGTCCAACCGTGCGTAATGTTTACTTCATCTGATACAATCAACGCAACTTTCAGTTCCTTTTTACCTTCTACTTAGTTGGGTGCCACGTTAAGGTAGAATATCTATGCTATTTGTCTCACCTTCACACGTTAGCAAGTTTGTGGTCCACATGAGCCTCTTTCCATTAATCACATCAATAAAAAATACCTATTGATTCCTTTCTCCACCATGTAGTTACAAATTAGTTTACACATTTCATGGTTAGTGTTGGTTGAAGAATGCTAGAAAACCTCCTGCTCTTCATTAGCACCTTCTGACCCGCCAGGTAGAAAAAGTAAGTGACATCACATAATATACAATAAAGACAGGCATACAGCACGCCATCACAGTTGCTGTACACAATGACATTACACACCTAAAAATCTGGGATTTCGATCAACGACTTCATTCAGTTCTCCAACCAGTTCGATGCTAGTGAATCGGACTGCCATGTGCACAGTATCTGGGAGTTGAACTACAGCTTCGAGCACTTCAGCCAAGGTGGGGTTATTATCACTGAAACAAAAAAAAATACCCACAAAGAATATCAGCAAACACGGATTTTGTTTCTCTACATTTAATCTTTTGTAATAGTTATATAAGAATTGAGATTATTAAGTATCTCACTGAGTCTCAAAAACCAAAGCTCATCAGATACACCAAATTTAGTAACAAGGTCAGCATACTACTAGGCAGGGAGATGCAGCAAAAGTTTTGCAAACAGCTAGATGGTCAAATAACAACTAGACCAGTAACCAGGTCTTGGTTGAGGGAAGATATTGGGAGGACTCCTAACTCTGCTCTGAATAGTAAGTCAAGATCTTTTATGCCCCATTTTATTATTCAGGAGGACAAAGAGCACAGTGCATAAAATACTATCCCTTGTGATAAAGAAGCACATACTGCATATTGCACCAATGTGTAAACGCAGAGTTTGTGCACAAGTCTTGGAAACAGGATGTTAACCTAGAGAGAGGGAAGAGCAACAGATGCATGGGAACACCACCAACTGTAAGTTGCCCTCAAAGCCACACATCAGTCTGAGCCAATGGAACTAAACTGCCATTCCTTCACTGTTGTTGGGCCAACATATTGGAATTCCCTTTCTGACAACACCAGCAGTTACATCACATGAACTTCAGCACTTCAATTCAAGACTGTGGCTTAACACCACTTCCTCAAGAATAATTAGGGATGGGTAACAAGTGGTGGCTCTGCATGTGATATTCACATCGCATGGAAGAGTAAACCCACCACTTTTGATATCAGAGAGCCAGAGAATTACCAACTGAGCAAAAACTAGTAGAAAACACCTTGATTTTTTCAAGCCTATCTTATTAACAGTTCCAGAGTTCCAGGGTCCACAATTTCTCACCACGCAACGAGCTGCCTTGTCCAGAAACTGCTGCAAAATCCACATAACTAGGAGCCTTTTATTCAAGTAGTGGGCAGCTCCACTGTGGCTAATTTAAAGTGCCTTCTTAGCTCCCATCCAAACATCTTGAACACAAAGCTCTCCTCAACTCTCATCTACACAGTTACACAATTCAACCTACAATCATGCGACATTAATCAGGAATATGATCCAGGCTACCTGTTAAAACTAACAATGCAATTTCATTCTAAGAAAACAGGTGTATAATGGAAAAAAAAACTATATATTGTACATTAGCAAGTGAGTGGCAGAATTATAGAAAACTGAACAATGGTTAATGAGCATTTTTCAGGGTGAAGGGAGGTTTGTAGTGGAGTTCTCCAGGGATTAGTATTTGGATCCTTACTTTTATTGATTTCTGTTAATGATCTACATTATTGAGAGGAGGGGGCGATTTCAAAGTTTGTGAGTGACACAAAGCCTGGAAATATTTGCAGATGAACTCAGGGCATTGTTGGGAACATAGGACTGGGATATCATAGCAATTATAGGAACGTGGCTCGGGGATGGACAGGTCTGGCAGCTTAATTTTCCGGGATATTGATGCTATAGGAAGGATCCCCCGATAGTCAACGGCAAATTGAGAAGCAAATTTGTATGGCAATCTCAGTTAACTGTAAGAATAATAGGGTGGCAATGGTAGGGGATTTTAACTTACCAAACGTTGACTGGGACTGCCATAGTGTTAAGGGCTTGGATGGAGGGGAATTTGTTAAGTGTGTACAAAAAAAAATTCTGGTTCAGTATGTGGATGTACCTACTACAGAAAAAGCAAAACTTGACTGACTCTTGGGAAATAAGGCAGGGCAGGTGACTGAGATGTCAGTGGGGGAGCACTTTGAGGCCAGTGACCATAATTCTATTAGTTTTAAAGTAGTGATGGGAAAGGATAGAACGGATCTAAAAGTTAAAGTTCTAAATTGGAGGAAGGCCAATTTGGACGGTATTAGGCAAGAACTTTCAAAAGTTGATTGGGGGCAGAAATTCATGAGTAAAGGGATGGCTGAAAAATTGGAAGCCTTCAAAAATGAGATAACAAGAGTCCAGAGACAGTATGCCCCTGCTGGGTGAAGGGCAAGGCTGGTAGGTGCAGGGAATGCTGGATGACTTCACAAATTGAGGTTTTGGTCAAGAAAAAGAAGGAAGCATAGGTCAGGTATAGACAGCAGGGATTGAGTAAATTCCTAGAAGAGTATGAAGACTGCAGAAGTATACTTAAGAGGGAAATCAGGAGGGCAAAGAGGACATGAAATAGCTTTGGCAAATAGGGTTAAGAAGAATTGAAAGAGATTCTACAAATACATTAAAAGGACAAAAGAGTAACTAGGGAGAGAATAGGGCTCCTTAAAGATCAGCAAAGCTGCCTATGTGTGGAACGACAGGAGATGAGTGGGAAGATACTGAACGAGAATTTTGCATCAGTGTTTACTGTAGAGAAGGATGTGGAAGAGAAATAAATAGTGACATCTTGAAAAATTTCCACATTACAGAGGTGGTAGTGCTGGACTCTTAAAACACAAAGGTGGATAAATCCCCAGAAGCTGATCAGTACAAAGTGAAAAGAAACTTTTTCACTCAGTAAGCAGTTCAAGTCTGGGATACACTGTCTGGAAATGTGGTGAAGGCAGGTGCAACTGAAACATTCAAGAGCGAATAAGATGATTATTTAAATGGGAATAACTTGCAGGGTTATGGGCTAAGGGCAGGAGTTTGTCACAATGTCACTGGACAGCTGATACAGACATGAGGGTTAAGTGGTCTTTTTCCATACTGTAACAACTCTGCAATTCTATAGAGATTTCCCTTCCCTTCTTTTGGATACAAGAAAACTTCAAGTTAGCCTAAAAAAGCCTTAAAAGATTGTGAACTGACTTAAATCTGATTTCAGCAAGTTGATCACTGGGTCATCAGGTTTAAATATCAGGAGACACAAGTTAAACATTAATTAAGAGTAAGAAGGTAACATATTTTCACCCAAATAGTCACAGTCTTCAAAGAAGTTACAAGAGAAGAATCTTTGAATCAATCCAAAAAGCTTATTTCTAATAAGAACAGTTGATCAAAAGCTTGGTCAAAAAGGTAGATTTAGAGGAATGTGAAAGGACAGTAGAGAAGCAGACAGATTTAGGGAAGGAATGCTCAAGCTGAGAGGACAAAAACTATAGATAAAGAAAATTGAAGTGCATGAATTCAAGAATAGCACCAAACACCAAGGAGATACAAAAGGTTAGTGGAATGAAGCAGAAGTACCTCAAAGCAGAATCAACTGCATTCAAGGGAAAAAAGAAAAAGATAATAAAAGTTGCAAGCAAAGAAGATAATTGATACTTGAAAAGGAGAGCAATACAAAGCTTCAAAAAAGAATTATTTTTGTCATGATATTTTAAAAATTGTTTAATTTCATTCATTTTCCAATTACTTACGGATCTACACTCTTTGCTATGGAAGCCATGATGAAGAGGACAGCTTCAGTGATCTCCCAGGATGGCCCACTGTCTTTCAATGTGGAATAGAGCTTTGAAGATCAATTATACATTGCAATATTATTCAATAGAAAGATAGACAAAAATATCTAAACTTCAAATAGCGCAAGTTGTTCAATCCCTCAAGACTGTTCCACTATTCAATTCGAACTGCACCCCAGTTAATTATTTCATGACTTGAAAAACAATTAAACAGATAAAGACTACCTTGTTCACAACGCACTTCTCACAACTCATACACGCTTTATTGTAAAAAAGACTCTAGTCACCTATATGATCGTCATTCACAAGTATATCTAGCCCTACAACCGTCCAAGTTTTTTTTGCACTGGGCCAAATCAGAACTTTTCTGTATCTTCAATTTTCTTTATCTATAGTTTTTGTCCTCTCAGCTTGAGAATTCCTTCCCTAAATCTGTCTGCTTCTCTACTGTCCTTTCACATTCCTCTAAATCTACCTTTTTGACCAAGCTTTTGATCAACTGTTCTATAGTCTCCTTTAGTTGTTGTAACTTTTTACCTGATTGCAATTCTGTGAAGCGCCTTGGGACATTTTACCACATTAAGAAGTACTATATAAATGTTGCTGTTGTTACACTAATATGCACTTCATTCATCCATTTAATCCCCTTCCTCAGGCTGTACTCAGTCTGCCTGATCATACACCAAATGTTTTTATACAGCATATACAAACTGTCTCTCAACACACTTAGACCTCAGAATGACGATGTTAAAGTTCCCTTTTCTCTTCAATTGAAGTACTAAACTTTATTATAAATGGCTGCTAAAATAGTAGATGAAAAAGCCTCATAGAGGACATTATGATTCATTGTATCATTTTGAGCTATATTCACTTCAGGGAGAATTTTTCTTCTTTATTTTCAACTTGCTTTTCTGAATGTTCTGACTCCTACTATTTAATTCCACTTATGGCAAGTTTCCACCAGAGCCGCACCATAGCATCGTACATCTGTCAGCCAGATTGCTAACTGTTAACCAGCGTGTCCTAGGCAGGAAAAATGTAGACATCTGGCAAGGACAAGGTTCAAGTTCAGCCACTATGGCTCCCACAGTTTGGACCGACAAACGATGGGAGAATTCAACTTGTAATATTACTGCAAAGTCTGCAGCAACTATTGAATTTTGCCTGAGCAGAAGTCAGTACATTCAGGAGTCAAATCCACAAATACTATTCCTCTTAAATTACAATCCACAGTCAAATTCTGAAATTTGTATCACCTGTGTGAAACACTCCATCGAACCAACCAGGAATATCACATCCTTCACAAGATCAGACACCCTCATCCGGAATTCCCCAAAATCATCCGAGTCTTCTGGAATTCCTTCCTGCAGATAAAACGGTCAGCACAAGACTTTAAATAATGAAGGTTCCTCAGATGAAGTAAATAAGCTAAATATCTTGGGCGTAGGTCACAAGGATTAGAGGACATAGGATTAAATTCACTAGGGCAAAAGATAGAACAACCATCACTTTTACTCTTATGGGGTAATGAAAGAGTGGAACACACTCCAAAAGGAGTAGTTTAGGGGTTCAGGATCTACTCTACTATTTGCAAAGGGGGATTGAAGTGAAGCTTGTTGATAAACACTGCATAATTTATTTTCACACATGCTGTCAGACAGATCTGTTTTAATCCTAGAATATTCCCAACCATTTAATCTCCTTTCATTACCTTATAGACTCTACCCATCTATTTAAATTCCTTACACATTCTTATAATATCATGGACTCCATCCCACCTATTTGGGGAGGCAATGGCCTACTGGTATTATTGGTAGATCCAGAAATTCAGCTAATGTTCTGGGGACCCACGTTTGAATCCCGCCATGGCAGATGGTGGAATTTGAACTCAATTTTTAAAAAAACCTGGAATTAAAAATCTACCAATGACCATGAAACCATTGCCAATTGTCAGAAAAACTCATCAGGCTCACTAATAAAGGGATGGAAATCTGCCATCCTTACCTGGTCCAGCCTACATGTGACTCTAAACCCACACCAATGTGGTTGACTCTCAACAGCCCTTTCAGTTCAAGGATAGCTAGGGACAGGCAATAAATGCTGGCCAGCTAGCAATGACCACGTCCCACAAGTGAATGAAAACAAAATTCAATCTACTTCAACATGTGCACTCTACCCTAAACTAGTATCCAATACATCTTCTGAAGTTCTAGATATGCACTACGTTATCAACAAAAAATAATGAAATAAGATTATTCATCCATCTTACATTTCAACCATTTATGCTGCTGCCCTTCCAGATTTAACTGCCTGCTCTTGCATATGAACCATTGGACGCTATGGAAAATTAATTAGCTTTTATTGTGGAGCAGAGAGAAACAAGACCGTGAGATTACCATCCCTCTAATTGCCAAAGACATTTTTACTCATTGTTTAGATGCACTTGTCAGTGTATTATTCCCTACATGCTCTTTGAGCACAGAATCAGGTTTAACTTTGCAGTTACGCCCCATAATTGTACCTAAACACTCGCTACTTAGACTTAATGATAAAGAGATCAATTTGGAAGAGAGATGAGTATATAAATGGACACCTACTGCCATGACAAAAATCAATTTCTTGAATGCTGCCAAGAGATCGTATCTCCAGATCATCTGCAACATCATAGCATTCTGTTCCTACTAGTTACGAACACACATGTCATGCCATTGCTCTTTCACTTAGATTCTAACAATAGTCCAGCTCAGATGATTGCTCCAGAGAAAAAAAACCATAGACGAACTTTTGAAAATCTTACGTGATCTGATTCCAGCTGGCAGTGTCGAGCCAGGGCATGAAGCAGTCGCTGAATATACGGACGAAAGACAGCATGACGTGATGGGTCATTCATTTTGTAGAGATGTTCTCCCAATCTGTACCAGAAGTTAAAGCTGATCTCCGCCACCTGGATAAAGAGAGATGATACAGTAATTATGAAAACTAGAGACAGCTAAATGAGACTTTATAGTTCCTTCACAAAACACAAAATTAGATAATATAGAAAAACGTTAAATAAGCCGTGAACATTGCTTAAGATACCCACCTCCTGATCATCAGAAGTCCTTACTTCTCCTACCACTTCCAACACTGAGAATTTTGTAATCACCTGTGCTTCTGCTCTTGGAAGCAGGACAATCTAGAGTTCAGAATGGTACTGAGGAAATGACACACTGTTGGAGCTATCACCCTTCACAAAAGATGTTCCATCTTTAGCATCGGTTGTCTTTTTGGGTGGATACAAGTAATTTTTGGAACAGTTCAACAAAACAAAAAACAAATTTTCCCCAAGCACAATATTGAACAATGCTATCTCAGCCAAAATCAGATTATCTGGTCAAGTCTCACATGCTGTTGGTAGAGATGGGACTTCAGAATGTTCAATATGGTTGCTGCCTTTTCTGATATAATAGTAGCTATGAAGTAATTTAGAAAGTTGCTCTATCAACACAAGCTCAAGTTCGTTCTTCAGATAGAACACAACTTCCACTGACCACAACCTGTCTTCTTTCCTGCTCTTGCACTTTAATCATTTGTGCTCCTAAAAGGGTTTATCCTTGGTCTTTCCTAGTTTCTCATTTACGTGCTACCCTTCCGCAACATCACCTGAAAACAATGTTTTCACACATTCACAGAGGACACCCAACTCTACTTCAGCATCACACCTTGAAACTTTTCCATAACTTCTACATTATCAAACAGTTTGTCTGACAGTCAGCTCTGCATGAGCAAAAAATAATGGCAAGATCAACTATTTTGTGCTGCCATTACAAACACCACTCCAAACCAGCAACTCCATCACTCACCCTGCCAAGTACCTGAGGCTGAACCACTCTCCTAAACCATGATGTCGTATTTGAACCAAAGTGAGTTTCTGATCACATCTGGACCATCAATAAAACCTGTAACTTTGCCCAACTCTACCTCTATCTTAGCTCAACTCTGAAATTCTCAGCTATAATTTTGTTTCCAATAGACTTGATTATTTTAATACACTCTTTGCTGGCCTCCCACATTCTTTCCTCTTCAAAATTAAGGATATTGAAAACTGTACTATCCATATCTTTACCTGTAAAAAGGTCCCAGTCACACATCATTTCAGTACTCAATGAACTAGATGGACTGCCAGTTAAGGAAATTTCTCAAAATAAAAACATTTTTCAAATCGTTCCATGACCTCACAATTCCCTTGGTCTTGCCACTTCACATTTCTATAATCACCTCTAGCTATAACTTTGGCCTTTTGAGCAAGTTTCGTTAGCAACTCCCTTCTCCGTCCAAAGGTCGTTCTCTCTCTTTCGGCTCTATCTTATCGTTTACTCCCTACCCCACCCACCTCCCTATTTTCTGCATATAAAGTGACGTTTTCCCAGCCACCATCAGTTCTGAGGAAGGGTCACCAGACCCGAAACATTAACTCTGTTTTCTCCTCCACAGATGCTGCCAGACCTGCTGAGCTTTTCCAGCAACTTTAGTTTTTGTTCCTGAACTATGCGGTTGCACTTCTGGTGGTGGTGCTTTCAGATGCCAACATCTTAAGCTCTGGAATTTCTCTCCCTAAATCTCCACCTTCCTAGGTCTTTTTAAGATACTCCTTAAAAGCTACTTCCGGGAATGAGGTTTTTGTTATCTTTCCTCGTGTGTGGTTTGCTTTATACATTCTTGTGAAATGCGCTGGGACATTTTACTATGCTAAAAGCACTACATAGGCTGTTTTGAATCTCTGAATTTCCATGTTGGTGTTGAGTCTCCCTGTTCTGCTAAGTATAAACATCATTAAAATATTGTCTGGTCATTTACCTCATTGATGTTTGAGGAACTTAGCTACATACAACTTGATTGCCATGTTTCCAATAATGCCAGAGTGACCATCACTTAAAATGACTCAATTGGCTGTAAAGCACTTTAAGTTGCTCTGAAGTTAAAAGGGACTACATAATTAATTACAAGTTTGATTTAAGTACATATCCAAAATGGAGACACAGAAAAGCTTCACTTCAAACTAAAGGTTTCAAATTTCCATGGTTCAATTTTCGACTGAGTTTTGGGTATCAGTCACAAAGTCAGTTTCTACTCTGTAGCAAGTTAGCTTTGGAAATGCACTATAATTAATTATAAAATAGTAGAATAAAAATGCTCAGCAGATTCTCCCAACCAATGGTCCCCTGTTGTAGTTGCCCATCAGGTAAAGATGAACTAGCTGTGATTAAAATTGAAAGCTCCAAAACTTTGCCATCATTCTCAACCCAACTCCTTGGCTGGAAACAAAAGGGCAGCTGATGCCAAATAAAATACATCCATCACAGGCTTGTGCCTTCAGAAGAGAGGGAAATTGCTCTACGACCTGTCAAAACTAAAATAATTGCCAGGATTTGTCCACCACGCTGTGATCAAGCCTATATCCACACCTCATATTGCGCATGTCCTGCACAAATCAGTAGCAGCTCCAGCGTCCGCAGATCTCCAAGTCCCTGCCCTGGGGTCTGGACAATAGTCTCCAGAAATGTCTCACACAACTCAGTAAAAATCCGACAGTAATTCAGAACCCTGTGCAGAGGAAGAATGAAGATTATGATCAGGGCGGAGGAGTAAAATGATTCTTTCAGTTTCCTCTTTTAAAGAAATTAATCCATTATAAGCAATTAGGGTAAGGCAGAATGGAAAGTCTAGACAGCAATGTGGCACATTCAGCATCTTGATGTTTTGTTAATTGGAAATGCTACATGATATAAAATAATCAACACACAAAGTTTGCCCCAAGTAAGCTGGTCTTAACCCAGGAGGTGTTGGTGCTGCATTTTATTTACTTCTTACAAACTGGAGCAACGAGAACCAAAGCTCCCTACTCTTTTGATCCTATCATGCAGATATACATCAACTGAAGATCAGACTAACTCAGGAAAGGTCTACATGGCACTGTCAGGAATAATGTTGCATTTTTAATCTATTCTTGAGATGTTGGTGTTGTTGACAGGTTAGCAAGTTGGTGGTGGGGGGTGATGTGATTTAACAGAGTGGCTTACAAGGTCATTTCAGATAATCACACTGATGCAAAAATGGGCCAGTTCAGGTAAACCAGTAGGTTTTCTTCATCACATCCCCTACCATGCAGCAAAGAATAAAAGGGAAAAGTTTCTTCCTTTGGAAAAGTATGACAGTATCTTTGACAATTACACTGATGCCAATTTTTATTTTACCAGACTTTCTTTCTAAACGGAATACAAATTTTCTAAATCCCATGGCATGATCTGAAACATCATTCTATGAATTACTAGCACCGTATCTTGGACACTAGCTCAATTCAGTAATGCAACCATTAAATCACTGAAAATGAGGGGTCAGCAAAGAGAACAAATATAAAAAGTACTTGAAGAGAAAGCAAAAGAGTTCAGAAAGGATGACTGCACCAAATGGTTTGCAGGTGGAAAAGGGAAGGGAAATGTGGTCATGCAGTAAAGAAAGGAACAAAAAATATGCATTTGGAAGAGTGAGTACATGTGAGCATGAAAGGGGGAGGCAACTCATGCAAAAAGTGCAGCAAAAGAAGTGTGTGACAGGCACAAATGCCCAAAAAGCAGCAGCTTCAGGCAGAAATAACATGCTGGTGTACAAAAAGAAGGAACACAGAGCATATATGCAATAAACAAGAAGACAACTGCAGCATGCAAGGAATTGCAAGTGATCAACCACACGACTGAGAAACTGAATAATAATCGGCTTTAATACCATCTTTGATACCATGTTTAATACTACTTTGGAGTTATCTCCATCAAAACATCCCATTATATTGATGTAGACCCGCATTGTCATTTGACCCTTCATCATCAGGTCAAAATCCTGGAACTCCTTCACCAACAGCACCTTCACTCTATGGACTGCAGCAGATCAAGAAAAAAGCTCACCATCTTCTCACAAGCAACTAGGGGTTGGGAAATAAATGCCATCCTTGCCAGCGACATCCACATTCATGAAGTCTTATTTTAAAAGAAGGAACAGAGTAAGCAATAGAGTAGCCACCAAGAATCATTTGGCTCGCCAGAATGTCTGCAACCAATCTGCACACCAAGCAGGAAATCAAGTGATCAAACGATGTTTATGCATATAAGCAGTAAACATGAGTAAAAGAAGGAACTGCATTTCAAATTGACTAAAGCTTATAAAAACAGTGCTGGAATTACAGAACAAATCAGTCACCATCTGAATAGGACAACAGGTTAGCATTTTAGATGCAATCTTTTTAAATAAGATTGCCACATTTCCTTTTTTCTAGTTCTGATGAAGCATCCATATTTTTGTTTTGCCTTAAGAAGCTGAGACACCAGCTGTGTGTTCAACTTGTTATTTTTAGTTCAACTTTCCAACTTGCAGGGGATTTTAAAATTTCCAAGTATAGGCTGGGACTGTCATTTTGTTAAAGGCTTGGATGGGGTGGAAATCGTTAAGTGTGTACAAGAAAATGTTCTTATTGAATATGTGAAGGAACTTTCAAATTTGACTGGGGAAGGCTATTTGCAGATAAAGGGACAGCTGGGAAGTGGGAGGCCTTTAAAAAGGAGATAACAAGAGTTCAGAGACAGTATGTTCCTGTTAGTGTGAAGGGCAAGGCTGGTAGGAATAGAGAATGCTGGATGACGAGAGAAATTGAGACTCTGGTCAAGAAAAAGGAGGCACATATCAGGTAGATACAGCTGGGATCAAGTGAATCTCAAGAGGAGTACAAGGGTAGGAGGAGTATACTTAAGATGGAAATCAGAAGGATAAAAAGGGGACATGAGATAGCTTTGGCAAAGAGAAGTAAGGATAATCAAAAAATGTTCTGCAAGTACACTAAAGGCAAAAGAGTAACTAGGGAGAGAATAGGGTTTCTTAAAGATCAACGTGGTCATCTATGTATGGAACCACAGAGATGGGTGAGATACTAAACAAATATTTTGTGTCAGAATTTACTGTAGAGAAGGATATGGAAGCCAGGGAACTGTTTCCATGCTGTATGACTCTACGTTACACTTTGGTGAGACACAGCAGGGCAGGACTTATACGGTTTAATGGTAGGGCCAAGGAGAGTATTGCCAAACAAAGAAACCTAGGGGTGCAGGTGCATAGTTCCTTGAAAATGGAGTCGCAGGTAGACAGGGTGGTGAGGACGGCAATTGGCACGCTTGCCATCACTGGTCAGCACATTGAGTTTACGAGTTGGGACATTATGTTGTGGTAATTTTAGAATTATGCATACAATTCTGGTCTCCTTTCTGTAGGAAGGATGTTGTTAAATTTGAGAGGGTGCAGAAAAGATTTACAAGGATGTTGCTGGTGGGACTGGAGGGTTTGAGTTATAAGGAAAGGCTGAATAGGTTGGGTCTTTTTTCCCCTGGAGCATTGGAGGCCGAGGGGTGATCCTATAGAGGTTTGTAAAATCACGACAAGCATGAATAGGGTGAATAGCCAAGGCCTTCTTCTTAGGGTGAGGGAATCCAATGGTCCACAGGTTTAAGATGAGAGGGATTTAAAAGATTTAAAAAGGACCTGAAAGGTAACTTGTTCACGCAAAGGGTAATGGTTGTATGGAACAAGCTGCCAGAGGAAGTGGTGGAAGCTGGGACAATTACACCATTTAAAAGTCATCTGATCGGGTAGGATCCGAATAGGAAGGCTTTAGAAGGATATGGGCCAAATGGTAGCAAATGGGGCTAGGTCAGATTGGGATGCCTGGTTGGCGTGGTGAGTTGGACTGAAGGGTTTGTCTGCTTGCACACTCTACGATTATAGTTAAGATTTTTTTCATAGAAACATAGAAGATAGGAGCAGGAGGAGGCCATTCGGCCCTTCAAGCCTGCTCCACCATTCTTCACGATCATGTCAAATCGTCCAACTCAATAGCCTAATCCTGCGTTTTCCCCATTACCTTTGATCCCATTCACCCCAAGTACTATATGTAGTCGCCTCTTGAATACATTCAATGTTTTGGCATCAACTACTTCCTATGGTAATGAATACCACAGGCTCACCACTGTTTGGGTAAAGAAATGTCTCCTCATCTCTGCCCTAAATCATCTACACCGAATCCTCATACTGTGACCCCTGGTTCTGGACACACCCACCATCGGGAACATCCTCCCTGCATCTACACTGTCTAGTCCTGTTAGAATTTCATAAGTCTCTATGAGATTCCCCCCTCATTCGTCTGAACTCCAGTAAAAACAATCCCACTCTTGTCAATCTCTCCTCATACGTCAGACCCGCCATCCCCGGAATCAGCCTGGTAAACCTTCGCTGCATTCCCTCGCAAGCAAGAGCATCCTTCCTGAGAAAAGGAGACCGAAACTGCACACAATATTCCAGGTGTGGTCTCACCAAGGCCCTGTACAACTGCAACAACACATCCCTACTCCTATACTCAAAACCTCTTGCAATGAAGGCCAACATACTATTTGCTTTCTTTACCACCTGCTGTACCTGCATGCTTACCTTCAGCGACTAGTGCTCAAAGACACCCAGGTCCCGCTGACCACCCCCCTCTCCCAATTTATAGCCATTCAGGTTGTAATCTGCCTTCTTGTTTTTGCTCCCGAAGTGAATAACCTCACATATATCTGAATTATACTGCACCTACCATTGATTTGCCCACTCACCCAACCTGTCGAGATCATGCTGAAGGATCTCTGCATCATCAGTTCACCCTCCCACTCTCCTTGGTATCATCTATAAACTTGGAGATGTTATACTTGGTTCCCTCAACCAAATCATTAATACATATTATGAATAACTGGGTTCCCAGCACCCATCCCTGTGGCACCCCACTAGTTAACTGCCTGTCACTTTGAAAAGGACCCATTAATTCCTACTCTTTGTTTCTCCTCTACCAGCTTTCTATCCATCTCAATACACTTCCCCCAATCCCATGTGCTTTAAACTTGCACATTAACCTCTTACGTGGGATTTCGTCAAACACTTTCTGAAAGTCCAAATATAATACATTGACTGGCTCCCCCGGTCAACTCTACCGGTTACATCTTCATAGAATTCCAACAGATTTGTCAAGCATTATTTCCCCTTCTTAAATCCATGCTGACTCTGTCTGATCCTGCCACTGCTCTCTAAAAGTTCTGCTATAAAATCCTTGACATTGGATTCGAGAATTTTCCCCACTACCGATGTTAGGCTTACTGGTCTATAATTCTCCACCTCCCTTTCTCCACCTCTACAGGATCACCCCTCGGCCTCCAATGCTCCAGGGGAAAAAAGACCCAACCTATTCAGCCTTTCCTTATAACTCAAACCCTCCAGTCCCACCAGCAACATCCTTATAAATCTTTTCTGCACCCTCTCAAATTTAACAACACCCTTCCTATAGAAGGGAGGCCAGAATTGTTTGCGTAATTCTGAAATTACCACAACATAATGTCCCAACTCGTAAACTCAATGTGCTGACCAGTGAAGGCAAGCGTGCCAATTGCCGTCCTCACCACCCTGTCTATCTGCGACTCCATTTTCAAGGAACTACGTACCTGCACCCCTAGGTTTCTTTGTTTGGCAATACACCCCTTGGCCCTACCATTAAAGTGTATAAGTCCTGCCCTGCTTTGTCTCACCAAAGTGTAACACAGAGTCATACAGCATGGAAACAGTTCCCTGGCTTCCAAATCCCGCTCCACAGTAAATTCTGACGCAAAATATTTGTTTAGTATCTCACCCATCTCTGTGGTTCCATACATAGATGGCCACGTTGATCTTTAAGAAACCCTATTCTCTCCCTAGTTACTCTTTTGCCTTTAGTGTACTTGCAGAATATGGGTGGATTTCTTTACCCTTTTTTGAATATTGGAGTGGCATTAGCCACCCTTTTCTAGTCACAACACAAATATAAGCTTCATGCTTTCATTTGATCCCAACTCAGGAGGTGGGTGATTCCATTAAAAATAGCCATCGTGATCCAGCTGAGCAAGTGCAGACATCATGACATAAATGAAAGACAGCCTATAGTGCAAAGGCTGCGTGGCTCTTGACATACTTCTCATTAAGTTGATGCACTTTTAAAAGTTGCAAACCAGAAGTATCTTTGCTGTATCTTAAGGCCATTATCTTTGAAAACCTGATGGACTTGATTCGCTAACCAAATTGCAGTAAAGTACATACAGTCTACTTAAAGAGAGAAAAATGCATGTATAAAATTCCAAAACACATCACTTTGAAGGTTACTCTCAAGGGCTCTTCTTAAATATACTTAATTTCTTTGGCCCTGGTGATGTTATTTACATTCATTTATAATTCATGGTATGTTGCTGCTGGATGAGAGTTGGAAGCCATGCTCCAATTTAGCACATGAACACATAGCATTCCACCTAGTAGTGGTGCTGGCCACAACCACAACCATCTTAAAGGCATTTTGCTAAATGTGCTAAGTTCAGGAAATGTGGAATAAGCTGGTACAATGGACAGATTAATTCAGGAAAGTGATCGTGTTATGGCACTGTACCGATAATGCTTGTTGCTGCTGCCAATTTTGCGTCATGCACATTGCATTCAGTAATTTATCTCTCAATTTCTCTTAACACCTTAAATCTGCTCAAGGTCTTGTCCACACTATCACTGCAGTCTTCACCAGCCTCAAATCTCAGATCATGCCATTGTGATATCAGATCAAACAATGGGAGAAGCAATCATTTCTATTTGCCATCAGTTACACCTTACTTTTAGTAAAGCAAAGAAATAACCACTATAGAGAACATCATGCCCTGAAGACTCAAGGTTTTTTGAAATAAATTAGCACAGCCTCCAGCCTCTACAGCTGATACAGGAAAATAAATTCAAGTTTGCATTTCATTTCCACTGTGCCTACATCTGATTCACTAATTTATATTAAGACAGTTGAGTGTCTCAGAGACATGGGAAGGTCTGGTGTCAATACTACGTTACAACAAAACCTTACGATGATTAAGTTTACAAGATCCTTACTTGTCAAGATCCTCACGTGCTACAGCCATGTGATATGCAGATTCTAAAGTTAGCACACCCTGGAATAAGTGCAGAGCAAGAGGTAGGGTTGTCTCTACATTCTCAATGGCATACAGCGCTGAACAGATACAGTCAGATGCAGCCTCGTGAAGGTTTGTTGAGGTATCATCACGTTGCTGAAACAAAAAGACACTGTGTCAGCATTCTTGGTTTAGCTTGGGGAAAGCAGCCAGGGATTTTGTAGAGAATGCTTGGCAGTTAGCCCCAAAATACTCACCAAGACCTGAAAAAGGATTAGTAGCAGTTGGTTATTTGCCATGAAGTTGCTGTCCAACACACCCAAGTTAAACCAGCTCCCCAAGCACCGAAACACCTTGATTAGAGTCTTCTCGTCATTGCCGCTACGTTCTGTACAGGCTGCCTGGGGGAAAAAATAAAAGAGATGGCCATTATGTCTCTTATTTATACAGGCCAACTTTTTCCACAGAGGGTGGTTCCTATCTGGAACGAACTGCCAGAGGAAGGAGTAGAGGCAAGCACAATTACAAAATTTAAAAAACATTTTGACAGGTACATGAACAGGAAAGGTTTAGAGCGATGTGGGCCAAACGCAGGCAAATGGGACTCGTTCAGTTTAGGAAACCTGGTCAGCACGGAAGGGAAGACCGAAGGGTTTGGTTCCATACTGTATGACTCCATGACTAAAAGTCTGAATCCTTGCAGGATTTACAGCTTCAAAGTTGCTGCCAGCGTTTCAGTACCTCAACATGGCAATTATTTTGACTCTCAACATTTTGAACAAGGTAAATTGGTCAACCACCGCTGTGGATCATCCTATTCTCACACTCATATAGTTGGTAAAGAACAGGAAGATTACAAAGAATATTCAGTATGATAGATTCTCTAGTCCCTTCAGAAGATCAGCGTACAGTATGGAAAGGAGCCATTTCAACCCAATCTAAATGCTAGCATTTAGGTACGTTAGCCTCTTATCATTCTTTCTCATCTAATATTTGGTGGAACCCTCAAGTCCCTTCTCCCTGGTGCTTATCTTGCTTTCCCTTCAATTCATCTATGCTTTTCACCTTAAACATTCCCTGTGCTGGAAAATCCTCAATCTTATCACCTTTGGGAAAAAAGAGGAATCCACACAGTATCCCTCAGCTTCCTTGAACTTGCCTTTTTCTTTGGGTACATCACAGTGCATCTTTATCATAATTCCATTTATTTAAAACTTGGGAGTAATGAAACATTTACCCGTTGTGGTTCCATAATGATTAACAGGTATACCTGATAGAAAAAACTAACAATTTCAGTTGTGAAATTTTCAACTAAACCCCAGCCTCAGAAGTTTCTCAAGGCAGAGAAGGAATTTTCTGACATTACTCTTGAACTATTAATACAAATTTTATGGTTAACTCTTTTTGCTCTAGATTCTTTATTCTGTAGAATAAACAGTTGCTGTTAACAGACACTACTGAATCCTTTTGTCATCTTAAACATTTCAATTGTGTCACCACTTTGTCTTTTTTACTCAAGGGACTGCTTTTCAATTCTGTTAGGATCATCTTCAACAGCACCGCAAGAAAGACACCACAACTGGTTTCAGCACCTCTGTAATATCTAATGGCTGAGGATGACGGACAGAGGCAATATAGGCAAGAGGTGTTGATCAAAGTTTAGTGATCCCAAGCTTTACATTTTCAGTCTGGTCGTACAATACTATAGCAATTTATCACGGTCCTAAGTGTTGCCCAAAGTGAAACTCAGAGCAGTTTCCTCTTATTTATTCTCCAGTGAATATGCAGCAAGGCTTATTGGCAGGTGGTATTGACAGGAAAAGAGAAGGCTGAATAGAATTTCCTCTTCCTGTGGGGAAAATGTGTGATCTTGCACTGCTTCCCACATGCAGGATCACAGCCACAAAAATGTATGCCCTTCTGCTCCACAAGACGTTTCCAATCTCCCTGAGCTTGTCGAACACCTGACCCCTCAGGCTGTAATCCTCAAAAGGCTACAGGCACATTTTCTTTGTGCCTAGGTGGGCAACCCCAAGCTTGGACAGCACAAGGTCTTCCTGCTAGTTATGACCCCACAACAGCGGCATTAACTCTCTTTTTCCACATTTCAACAGAATATACTGTTTCACACAGCCACAGCAAGAACATATCATGTGTGCTGCCCTAATCAAACCATAACACAGCAGATTCTAAACTCCACAGAGCAAAGTTAGAAACAGACCCTTTGTACAGTAAGGAGAAACATGAACACATGAAAAGAAATGACAAAGATAGAGAATTAATGGTTAGGAGAACATTTAAACTGCTATTTTTAGAACAGATTTTCTTTGGAGCTTACTCTACTGCCAGATCAGGAGAACCCACTAAGGTGACAGAGGTTAATTGTTGACAGATCAGATAGTGCATAGAAACTAAACCAAGAACTTTACCTTGCTGGTTGAATCCCACAGATGAAGCAGCCCCACGATTTTGTTAGTTGATCTTAACCAGCATGTCAGATGGGTTAGTGCAACTAACCTTACTGGCCAGGTCAAGGAAGGTGAAGGAATTGGGCAAAGACAGGATAAGGCTTGGTTCTGATTTGCTTTTCCATTTCCCAAAATACCCCCACCCCCATTATAGTTGAGTAGCTGTCCCTGCTTCACATGACGAGATACCAGATGAGGAGAAATCGTTAGAGGAAGAAAATGAAGATGCACTCCATCTAACCAGTTCTTCCCCACCAGGTATTAACATTATATACATACCAGCAGTGATACCACTGTGCTCGAGGAGTATGCCAAATCTTCGATTATTTCAGTGCGGCGGTTGGCTCCTATTCGAAGAGAGCGACTATGAACCTCCTCTGGAAGCACAGTCAGGATTTCCAACAGGAAAGAAAGGGATGACGGGTCATTGCTATATCTGAAATTGAACGCATTATGGGTCATTGGTAAACCCGAGATTAATGCAGACAGTCAGCCAAATTACCCAAGTGTACAGACAACCACATGGTAGCATCAAATGAGATATGACAACTTGACCAACATTTAATTTTTTACCTCTGTATGAAATTTGAGACCTAAACATAAACAATTAAAAGCATATTTCTCCAGAATTATCAACATGAAAATATTGCAAATTTTGCTAGGTTGATCTCATACTGATGAAATGCATGCTTCATTGGAACATAGGAATTATCAGCTGGTGTAGGCAATTCAGCCCTTCAAGTCCACCCCACTATTTAACATGATCTCACCCCATATCTATGATCTCCTGTTCTAGATTGTCTTACAAAGGGGAGCATCTGTTCAACATCCATCTTATCAATCCCCTTTAACATTTTATATATCTCAATCCGATCCTCCTCATTCTTCTCAACTGCAGCGAGTACAAGCCCAAGCTGTTCAACCATTCCGCATAAGTCAAGCCTTTTCATCCCTGAATCAACCTTGTGAACCTCCTCTGAACTACCTCCAGTGCTACCACATCCTTCCTCAAGGAAGACGACCAAAACTGGAACTCAATACCCCAGGTGTGGTCTCACCAATGCCTTATATAATTCAAACAACAGTTCCTAACTTATATAATCCTGACCTTTTGAAATAAATGCCAAGACACCGTCTGCCTTTATTATATGCTGCACCTGCATACCCACTTTCTGCAATACATGCACAAGGACACCCAGATCCCTCTGCACTGAGGCACTTTGAATCTGCTACCCATTTAAATAACAATTTTCCCTAATATTTCTCCAGCCAGAATGGATAACCTCGCACTTATCTACATTAAACTCCATATGCCATATTTTGGCCCATTCTCCTAGCCTATCAATATTCATCTATAAAAGCTTTATCTCCTCATCTCAGCCTGCCCTCACCTATTTTAGCATCATCTGCAAACTTTGCTATGTTACATTCTGTCCCTATTTGCAGATCATTTGTATAAGTAATAAATAGTTAAGGTCCGAGAACTGAACCCTGCAGCACTCCACTCGTTACAGTTCGCTATCCAGAGAAGGACCTATTTATTTTGATCTTCTGCTTTCTGTCAGTCAATCATGTCATGATAAAAAAAAGTGTCTTATTTTGAGTGGCTTATTCTCTTGATGCACATGGTCCTGAAAAAACACAGGGCAGGAAGTACTGAGGTGGAAAGCAAGATGCAGAAACAGGTTACTACATATCAACAACCTTCCCAGTGAAATGCTCTGGGCTTGTGGGATGAAAACGTGAGAAACAGAAGTATTGTCTTTGGCTCAGTGGCACAGAGGAGTGAGGCAGATCTTCTGCATTTATACTAATATGCCCCAAACCTATAGACACTTACTTTTCAGTTAGCATTTGCACACATCCTTTCCATGAGGCCATTTGCAAGGCAAGATCTGCAATTGCCAGTGCCAGCTAAAGAGAAGAGAGAAAGATATGGTGTTTCAGAAATTATAACCTCTATTAAAAGCTCATTAATGCTGCAATTCTGTAGAAGAAAAACATTAAGGGAGTGGCAAAATTTCCACCATCACTGCTGATAATCCTGATACAGATCACGGTCTGCAGCTCAATCCAACTGTAAAGTCAACCAAAAGGGCCATGCCCAGAATGATGGAAAGCAGTTGACAGCACAATTCAACATCAAACTAAGGGTTTCTCCAAGTGATTGTACAGATTCACTTTCTGCACGAAGTAACTTGTTTTTACTGTTGAAATATACAGAGCTTTGCAAAATTTTATTGGTGTTTGCTGAAGGAAATTGAGTAAGGACTGAGCTTCTTTATTGAAATGACTCACACTGTGATGAGAAACAATGGAAATACAGCATCTGCAGTACTTCACCATTTTGTTCAAGTTACAACAGAATTTTTTACTTCTGTATACAGCACTGTTATGGAGTTTGTGAATTATGGTCCTGTGAAATGTGTAGTCCAATCTGATGATTCTTAAATCAAACTCTTTAAGTAGTTCTGGAGCATCGTAATATGGTTTGCAACCTTGGTTCCATTCCCAGTGGAACATCACGGCTTTGGAGAAACCCATTCAGGTCACCTATCCATCACAATCAGAGTGCTCTTCAGCTGGTTGCACAGATATATGCAAAATGAAGTATAATCCTTCTCCTAATTGCAGAAATATTCACAGAATTCAGCATTACATATAACTGTTTCCTAGCAATAAGCATCTTTGTTCCAGCAGTCCCTTTTGATATTCCTTTCAATTATACAAAACAAATTGAACTAAATTAAGAAAAGGTGCCAGCCACTTAAACGGGCACTGCAAGAAAAATTCAAATCTTCAAACGAATCTTGCAAAATTTAACTTAAAATATGATTATTTGCGGGAGTAGGTGGGGATGAAGAGGAGCAGCTAAAAGTGAATGCCACAAGCAGGATAATATTTCTTATCAGTTTCAATCTGGGATCCATGTGCTCAAAATAGTTAATCAATCATTAATCCTGCCTGTTTATACTTTGGTTGTGTCTATCGACACCAAATGCAGGCACTGTCTATAATTGCACGTATGCATTTAAACAGGTTCATCTTTAAACTTGTTAAGGGGAGGCCAGGCAATGAGGGGCAAAGAAGGTGAGTAGAGTGGTCCCTTCTTTCCCCATCACCACCTTCCACTGCCATCTTCAGAACTGCCCCAAGTTTAAAGCCAACTCATTTTCATGCACATGCACAAATTTAAGCAGTGCATAGGGCTCACGTGGGTATCAACAGACAAGGCCTTAACATAAACAAAGCCAAGGCTGACATAGAATGAATGGATAGGCGGAGGAGGAAAGTGCAATCTTACATCAGTCAGGATCTTCAGATAAGCAAGGAACAAAAGCAAGCATCAGCTCTTGAAATATGGCAACAGCCATGAGCCCTGTTTAGTATCGCCCCCATTAACACTTATACAAAAGATGACTCACCGTAAAAGTCGGAGAGAAATTTGCTTTCTTCACCTTAGTGAAGAACTTACCTGCGTAACAATCACAGGAGACACATCCTTCAAATTTTGAATGTGAGTGAGCAGCGAGTCTCGCAGAGATGCATGTGTTTCAGGTGGAAGTTCATTAAATGATGTCTGAATTTTCATCTTCATTGTCTGTGCTGCAAAATAGCACAGCTCCACCTCTTGTTGCAGCTGCAGCAACTGATCTGCAATCTCCCAGGCATACATCTGAGTAAGTGAGTAGGTTGGAGATGGTGTGTGGGGTGGGGGTCAATGGGGAGACAGAGAGAGATAGAGAGACGAAAAGAGAGAGAGAAAGAGTAAGAAGGGATAGAGAGATAAATATCATGTTGTACACGCATCTAAAATTCACAATTCAGTCAGGATCCCTCACTGCAATTTTAGTTTCAGGGTGTAAATAAGTTTCTGGACAACAACTATTCTATCCCAACTACAAGGCACCAAACATTTACAATAAAATATACCGAATTCATTTGCAGCGCTCTATTTTCACAGCCAATCACTTAAGGAAATTTTTTTGCAATTTAAAACATTTCAAGTACAATTTTGCTGGCTGATATCAAAATTATGACATTATGTGGCATTTATTTATGCAAAATACAAATGGATGTGCTACCCATGAAGGTAGAACCATTGGGAGAATAGCCAAATTTGCACCACATACAAAGCATTATCTTTTGGACACAATCAAGGTTTCAGCACAAGGCTGTCTTTCAGTCTCAATCAGCCGCCTGACGGACTGATCATCTCACTCCAAAGGAAATGTCTTGACTGACTCTTTTACTCTTTACTTTCAGTAAAGCCAAGATAGCTCAATAATGGCAAAGAAGAAAATCAACCTTCCCTGATATGCCTATGACTCCACTGTTTAAATTTCTAACTTAAGAAACTACTGCTTACATACTGTGGCATTTGGAATGCCACACTAGTCATGGACGACTAGTTCACACTCTCCCACGACCAAAGCACTCCTTTAAAAATGGATGGGGAGGTACATTGTGTTGTAACAAAGCTCATCCATCTAAAATAATGAGTCTACTTGCTCCTTAAATGGTACCATGCTTCTACCTCCATGACCTTATCTGGGAATTCCTTCCACAAGCTATTTAATATGTGTGAAACAGCATTTCCAAAAATCTAGAGACCTGAACTGAGGCTAACATTCTTGATCCTGTATCGAGCACGGGCTGCACTTGGAGATGCTTGCAAATGCAACATTAATTGAAGGTCCTATTTGCCTTCTTGGGCGGATGTATTTCAATATGACTAGGGCACTGGGGAAAATGCCCTACTTAACATGCAACCTTCAACATAAAATAAAACCAGATTATGTAACCTTGATCACAATATTATTTATGAGACCTTACTGTGCAAACATTGGTTGCCAAGTTTGCTACATCATTTCAGTTATACACTTCAAATAATACTGCATTGGTGTAAAGGCTTCTGGAATGTCCATTTTACCATTCATTTATTTATTGTCATATATACAGTATTCAATATACAGTGAAGAGTGTGTACCATTGCCATGCATGGCACCGTTCAAATTAACTTAATATAAAAAGATAGATAACTATAACAGAGTCCAACTTTTCCTTCTCTGCTACTAGTCCTGCCCCGGGGAACACTATCCCACACCATGCCGCCACCAGAGTCCCGCTCCGGGCTACACCAGCACATGCCATGCCACTGCCAGGGGCCCACTCCACACAGAAGCGAGAGTTCCAATCCAGGCGTCACAGGTCGGCCGACACTATAGTCATGCTGCCTCTAAAGAAGCCACCGCCACTCCTGAGGCCATCAAAGCCACCTTCCTGCCAAAGAACTCTCTTTATCAGGTAAATCTGAATGAAAACTAAATAAAACTGAGAAACGAAGGGGAAAAAGAAAAAAAGCGAACAAAGAGGATAATTCCGGGCACAGGAGCCTGAATGCGGTCTACTCTGCTGCCATGCCCAGAGGTTGTGAAAGACATTAAAATTTTTTGTGTGTTAAATTTATTCATTTTAAAAAAATCAGTGCTGCAGAATTATTCTGAGACCACAGCAGTACAACAAAAATCATGGCTGAGCCTTCCTGTAATTTCAAACATTATGGCACTATTTTGATAAAATTTTCAAGATATTTAGAGGGATTGCTGGCGTAATGAGAACAGAGAAACAATTTCCACTGGTTGGGAAATCTAGAACAAGGGAACACTTATCCTAAAAATTACAGACAGACCACTCAGAAGTGAAGTTTAGAAATACTTGTACACAAAGGGTAGAGGTCTGGACCTCACTGTCACAAACTGCATTTGATGCTACGTCAATTTTAAATCTGAGATTGAAAGCTTATTAAACAAAAGGAATGAAAGCCTACCAACCAGCCATAATTTCACTGAAATCCAAAACATGGACTAGTCAGCCTTATGTTTCGACTGAACCGAAGATAAGCAGAAGCTAATATTGGTACACATACGATGTGGCTTATGGCCCTATGAAATAACTTCATTCTCCTTGCACAAATTCCTTGAGCTAATGGCTAATGTTCAAACATCTATTTCAGATGTTTCCTCACTTCCCTTTAGCCGTTTCCCTCTTCCCCTTATAGGGAAGGTGCTTGGACTCAACACGGGATGCAGCCACACTAGACTCAAAATATCGTCCCGCCAGAGCAAGGATGCAGGCTGGCAAAGAGCAAACAGTTCAGATAATGTAAAGGACCTGCACTGCCATCAGTAAATATTCAGTCAGTAAGTTAGCATGCTGAGTGGAAGGGGTTCCCAAGTCAAATGTTCAGGAGCTGGATCAATATGCTGGGTCAGATGATAATGCTCCCAAGATCTCCCAGGAACTGAGATGAAGATGGCCACCAGCAGACATTTGGGGTTTACAGGATAACTTCAATCTTTTATTCCGTTGGATTCAATAGCTCCCAGCACTCAATTCTTCCAGCTAAGCCATCTCCATTTTTCCCCCAAAATAGAATGGAGAAGAAAGAATAGGCAGGACAAACAACTAACTTCAACTGTACTGTGAGATTAGCATAACAAAGAGAAGCCTCTCTAGCTCTAGAGATAGCAGGAACTGCAGGTGCTGGAGAATCTGAGATAACAAGGTGCAGAACTGGATGAACACAGCAGGCCAAGCAGCATCAGAGAAGCAGGAAGGCTGACGTTTC